TAGTTGAACAAGTAGAGAAAATCCAATGGCAAACTTATATTAAACGCAACAAAAATTAATTTTTGTTGCATTTAATATAAGTTTGCCATTGGATTTTCTCTACTTGTTCAACTACGTGATTATTGTGGTTGATTGAAGGGCCCTCAATTGACTATGCCTATTTAGTATGTATTACTTGAAAAAGGGTACATATTTACGTAATTGTTGAACAATCACTCCTAAAGTATATGAGGGATCAATACGGCGGGTTTAAAGGTGGGATTAGGAATAATGAAATATTGGTGCGATCTTAGTGAGCGGTAAACTAGTGCCAGCTAGCGTAGTTCGGAAGAATACGTCTAGTAAGTTGTTGTATTTGCTCGAAAAAGAATTATGACATCTAAAGTGCTCACGATCGGTAGAGAGTACCTAGGCGAATTTATAGGAGACGTACCAGGGAGGATTCCGATAAGAGGGGAAATCGTAACCCTAGACCTTTCCAATCTTGTCTACAATATTTGCTTTGTTAGTAATAAAATTACACCTTTTAAATTACCTTGTTTTTAGTTAGTAAACAATCAACTCATTGTTCAATATTTCTGAAAGTAGATTACTTGAATTCTTGTGAAACTAGCAGTTGTCATTAGTAGGTTAATTCCCTGTAGGATTCGACTCCGGACTTGTACATCGGATTATATTTGCCGCTTAGTCCTTTTTATAAGGCATAGTTGGGCGTGATCAAATTTTGGCGCCATTGCCGGGAAATTCACGGTACAGCTAAAAGAATTATTAGAATTCGTAGTTTATTCAGCTTTCTCCACTTGAAATTCATTATACTGAAACTCTAGCATTTGTAATCTTGGGTGTTATAGGTGCATGCCTAGAAACTCCTCAAGAACTGGTGAATTGCTTGAAGCATTATCGGATACTGAGAAAGCTTTCAAGGCATTAAATCGGGCAAGCAAGAAGGGCAAACGACGATAGAACTCAACAGAACGAATCGAACTAGACATGGGTGGCGTAATGGACAACCCAAACAACAGAAACAATGGGAATGACCCAAACAATCAGGGTGTGGCACCTCTTGTGCCAGAAGCAGCCTTGTATGATTGGGCACAATTCACCACTGAAAATTTGGCAACCGCAATTGCAGTCCCTCAGATACAAGCGGAATCATTTCAAATGAACAACATGCTACATTTGTTGCAGAACAAGGGACTATTCTCAGGGTCTTACATTGAAGATCCTCAGCAGCATCTGAAATAAGGCTGTTGTTGTTTCCATTCTCAGTGACGGGAGAGGCTCAGACTTGGCTCAATTCGCTCCCCATAAACTCCATCGCCACTTGGGAGGAATTATTCAAGTAATTTTTGAACAAGTTCTACCAACCTACTAAGACTACCAAGCAAGTTGATAAGATATTGAGCTTCAAGCAGAAACCAGTTGAAACATTGCAAGAAATGCGAGAGAGGTTCAAAGGTATGCTGGTTAAGTGTCCACATCATGGCATTCCAGATCAGATGTTAGGGCAAAGGTTCTACATGGGATTGGCAGACAGCTTGAAGGCCAATGTTGATGCTTCAGCAAGTGGAGTATTTTTTAGCAAATCATTCAGGGAATACAAGGTCTTAGTTGATAAAGGGAATCAAAACTTGGGATGGATGACAATAGACTCTACAATCACTCACGTAGTTCACTCAGTAGCTTTAGACCCAAACAACTCCATGGTTGAGAATATGGCTACGATGATGACACAATTGAGTATCCTAACCAAAAAGATTGATGAGTCAGGCCAGAAGTACGTGTGCATAGTTGACACGACAAATGGAGGATTATGCACACCATGCATTAATCAGCCATATGTGTGCTCATAGAGTGGTGAACGTGACAATAAGAACTATCAAGAGAATATGAACTATGTGGCAACTATGAAGACCAGAGACAAGGCGGTTAGACTTGGGGACAGCACAATCAACAATATAGGCCACCACAGCAGCAGTACAACAATAATAATAATAATCCTGGAGCTGCACGACCACATGGTCAGGCTGTGCCTATTCAAAGGCAACAAGGGTACAATTAGTAGAATCAGCAACTAGCTTATCGACAACCTCAATAGCAACATATAGTGTGACAAGATGATTGGTTGTTTGAAATAAAAGGAATGTTGCAAGAACTCATTGGGTCCAGCAGAAAAAGGAAGAAAGGTCAACCAGATGCAAGAAAAGGCACACCAGATGCACGAAAAGGTAATATCACACGACTCAGCTATCAAGGACATTGAAATTCAACTAGAGAAAATATTCATGGCCCTTAACAATCGTCCTCAACGGCATTACCTGCGGACACACATGTTAACGTGAAAGAGCTGGGCCCGAAGCAGTTGATGGTTGTGAGTCTGAGAAATGGTAGAGATCTTGATCTAGAGCAAGAAATTGCTCGCGAAAGCCAACCAACTGAGATACTTGTGCCAGTACCAATTGAGGTAGATGAGTCAACTGATCTAATCGAAGTAAGAATCCAGCCAGCCTAGGAGGAAATAAACAAGGAAAGTGAGGTTGAAAAGGAGATGAGGGGGTGCAAGTGAAGGAAGTAGAAAAAGTGCTCGAGCAGGATCTAACTCAAGTCACAGGAAAGAAGCAATCGCCAGCACCCTTTCCGCAGAGGTTGGCCAAATATTAGAAGGATGAGCAGCATAAGAAATTCATGGAGATGTTGAAGCAAATCCAGGTGAACGTTCCACTGATTGATGCCTTGAGGGAGATGCCTGAATATGCAAAAATGATGAAGGACTTGATGTCTCGCAAGTTCAACTTTCGAGACTTGGCCACTCTTACACTAACTCAGACATGTAGTGTTGTCGTGACGAGACCCATAGCTGAGAAGTTGTCCGAACCAGGGAGTTTCACAATCCCATGCACAATAGGCAGCTATGCTTTTGCTAAAGCATTGTATGATTTGGGGGCGAGCATAAACTTGATGCCCTTGGCTATCTATAAAAGGTTATGCATTGGAAGAGCAAGACCCACATCCATGTTACTACAGCTAGCCGATCGAACGGTGAAGAGGCCATCAGGTATACTTGATGATGTTTGGAAAGTTTGTGTTTTCAGCAGATTTTGTCATTCTAGATTGTTGGGTTGATGAGGATATTCCCATAATTTTGGGAAGGTCATTCTTGGCCACTAGGAGAGCTCTAATTGATTGTAAAACTGGGGAGCTAAAGATGATACTGAACGATGAAGAGATAACGTTCAATATGCAGAATTCTATACGGCAACCAAGTGAATTTGCTAACTGCTCTCTGATAGAAGCTGTGGATGTGATTTTGGAGGAGGAAGATGAGGCTTTGAACGCAAAAGATCCTCTAGTAGCCTGCCTGATGAATTTAGAAGAGGTAGATGGTGAGGACTTGGCAGAGTGGGTTTTGGCCCTTGAAGGCCAACGGTACTGGAAAAGAGAGCTCGAATTCGAGCCTTTACACTTAGAAGAAAGAAAGACCCCTCCAGCTAAGCCATCAATTGAAGAGCCACCACAGTTGGAGCTAAAACCGTTACTGTCTCAGCTTAAGTATGCTTTCTTAGGATCGAGCTCGACTTTACCCGTTATTATCTCATTTGGTTTGTTAGATGGGCAGGTAGAACAACTTTTGCAAGTTCTGGAGGAGTGCAAAACTGCAATCGGTTAGACCATTGCAGACGTAAAGGGTATCAGTCTAACTTTTTGTATGCATAAGATTCTACTGGAAGATGGGCACAAACCTTCCAGAGAACATCAAAGAAGGCTAAACCTCAACATGAAAGAAGTGGTGAAGAAAGAAGTGATCAAGTGGTTAGATGCGAGAATCATCTTCCCTATCTCTGACTACAACTGAGTCAGCCCAGTTCAGTCTGTGCCAAAGAAGGGTGGAATGACTGTAGTGCAAAATGAGAACAACGAGTTGATATCAAGAAGAACAGTCATAGGATAGCGAATCTGAATGGATTATAGAAAGTTGAACAAGGCCACCCGAAAAGACCATTTCCCACTGCCATTCATTGATCAGATGCTAGATAGATTGGCAGGGAGGTCCCACTTTTGCTTTTAAGATGGATACTCGGGGTATAATCAGATCTCTATTGCCTTGGAGGATAGAGAGAAAACGTCGTTCACCTGTCCGTATGGCATCTATGCCTATTGGAGAATGTCGTTGTGCCTATGCAACACACTCGCCACATTCCAAAGGTGCATGATGGCCATCTTCACAGATATGGTAGAGTAAATGATGGAGGTTTTCATGGATGACATCTCAGTGGTGGGGTACTCATTCGATGATTGCCTTATGAACTTGAAAAGAGTATTGAAGAGGTGTATGGAGACTAATATGGTATTAAACTGGGAAAAGTGCCATTTCATGATACATGAACGTATAGTCTTGGGACACCTAGTGTCGAGTAAGGGCATTGAAGTAGATTGTGCAAAGGTTGATGTAATAGAAAAATTGCCACCACCCACTTCCGTTAAGGCAATAAGAAGTTTCCTTGGCCATGCCGATTTCTACAGGCGGTTTATAAAAGATTTTTCCAAAATTGCTAACCCTTTGTGTAAATTGCTTGAAAAAGATCACCCTTTTGTGTTTTCTGATGACTACAGGGTAGCTTTTGAGGAATTGAAGAAGAGGCTGGTGTCTGCACCTATCATAGTTGCACCCGACTGGGAGCAACTATTTGAGCTGATGTGTGATGCAAGCGACTATGCTGTGGGAGCAGTTCTTGGGCACCAAAAAGATAAATTCATGTATCCAATCTACTATGCAAGTAGAACTTTGAGTGGTGCCTAACTAAATTACACAGTGACCGAGAAGGAGATGCTAGCAGTGGTGTTCGCATTTGACAAATTCAGGTCATACCTTATATGCTTGAAGGTAAGTGTTTATACTTGTCACGACCCGAATTTACCACCGTCGTGACCGTGATGGCGCCTAAAATTATACTCGCTAGGTAAGCCAGCGTTACAAATTATTTCGCCTTTTCCTATTATCTTTTAATAGTTTACAAGTTAACATAAGTAAATCAGCGGAATAAAATATGGAAGAACGGAATTTAACAGATTATCTTAATACCACTACGAAACCATGATAAACCTCCACCCAGAACTGGCGTCACAATCTCACAGACCGTCTACGAATACTACAAATAATAGTTTGAACAAAAAAATACACATATGTCTCGGAAATAGATAAAACAGAAAGGAAACAGGATAGAAGGGGACGCCAAGGCCTGCGGACGCCTGCAGGTCTACCTCGGGTCTCCACTGGACTGAAGGCAGCAACCTCGAACTACGATCCGTATGGTCCAGCACCGGGATCTTCACAAAAAGTACAGAGTGTAGTATCAGTACAACCGACCCCATGTACTGGTAAGTGCCGAGCCTAACCACGGCGAAGTAGTGACGAGGCTACAGCGGGGCATAACAATATATATANTAGTATCAGTACAACCGACCCACTGTACTGGTAAGTCTCGAGCCTAACCTACGACGAGTAGTGACGAGGCTACGGCGGGGCATAACAATATATATATATATATATATATATATATATAACCTGCAACAGTTTATAATAAATAGAAAGAAAATACAGAATGTATTAAAGCAATAAATGGCATAAAGTAAATCCGGAACCCAGTAATTCTACTAGTATTCAGCTATAACCAATCCTTAAGGGTATTTCCACATCACAGTAATGAATTTCAGCAGAAATGAATACTTAAAACAACAACTGATGCGGCGCGCATCCCGATCCACTCATATAAACAACAACAGTATCAATATTCATCCTTATTCCTTCTTGTTGCGGCGTGCAACCCGATCCCACCTGTCCACCCTTATTACTCCTCAGCACATATCACCCTTATTCCTCCTATTGCGTCGCGCAACCCGATCCCACCTGTCCACCCTTATTACTCCTTGTTGCGGCGTGCAACCCAATCCCACCAAACAATCACAATTCTCCCTTCTTCCCCTTGTTGCGGCGTGCAACCCGATTCCAATATAAATATACCAGCACCAAACACAAAAGAATAAAGACAAAAGTTTCACAAGCCAACTCAAATCCCCCACATTACTTATACCTCAACCCACACAATGGAATATCACTACGATTATGAAACTTCACCAATGAAAACTACTCAGCGAGACCAACCAAGGTGCACCATAAGGCACCAATGAATCAATATAAACCAACAGGGTAATAAAATGAAGCTACGAAACCAATAATACTTCAACGGGAACATCAACAGTTAACATGAAACAATTAAACAATTCAATAAAGAGAATTATAGTTAACATGAAGCAATTAGACATGGAAACATTTATGTGCAAGTAGCAATTAAGGCAGGAAAGCAAGATATAGGGAAACGGGAAAGGAAATAGGCTAAACAAGTAATTTGGTGACACATAGGTACTCGTCACCACACCTATACGTCACACACATAATATTTCACATAGCAAACAAGACGGGGATCCCTAGTCCCTCGAGACAAGGTTAGACCAAACACTTACCTCAAGCCAACGGGTAATTCAACACTCTACCACCGCTTTACCTCTCGATTCCACCACCAATTCACTCGTATCTAGCCATAATTAATTTAATAACATCAATAAATGCTAAATAAACCAATTCTAATGCATGAATAAAGATTTTCCAATATTTTCCCCCAAAAGTCAAAAATCGACCCCGGGCCCGCTTGGTCAAAACTCAAAGTTCGAACCGAAATCCGATTACCCATTCACCCACGAACTCAAATATGCAATTGGTTTTTAAATCCGACCTCAATTTGAGGTCCAAATCCCCACAATTCGAAAATCCTAATTTCTACCTAAGAACACCCAATTCCCCATGAAAAACCCTAGATTTTAATGTGAAATCATGTAAAAATATGAATTATATTGAAGATGATGAGTTAGAAATCACTTACCTATGATTTGGAGAAGTTTGGGTCTTTGAAAAATTGCCTAGGGATGTTTAGGGTTTGAGAGAATTGAAAAATGATGAAAAATCCCGTCTGAAATCTCACTTAACAGGATGCACTTATCGCAATTGCGATCAGCAGTTCGCAATTGCGAACCCTATAAATTTCTGTTGCCTTCGCATTTGCGATGAAAATGTCGCATTTGCGACATAAGGGGCCTTCGCAATTCCGGCCAAAATGTCGCATTTGCGGGGATGGCCTTCCCAGGCCTGGTTCGCATTTGCGACATTATTGTCGCATTTCCCAGGCCTGCTTACTTCGCAATTGCGAAGCCTGATCTCGCAATTGCGAGATCAGAGGCATGTGCAAAACACCAGATGCATCAGCTGAGTTTTCCTAAGTTCTAATCACCCCGTGGCCGATCCAAAACTCACCCGAGCCTTCGGGGCTCCAAACCAAACATGCACACAAGTCTAGAAACATCATACGGACTTGCTCGTACGATCAAATCATCAAAATAACACCAACAACTACGAATTTAACCTTAAATTCATGAAATTCATAAGATAGTTCAAAATTTCTATTTTCTCAACCTAGGGTCCGATTTATATCAAATCAATTCGGATTCTTACCAAATTTCACAGATTCGACTTGAATATTATTTTAAACCTGTACCGGGCTCCGAAACCAAACCACGGGCCCGATACCATCAAGATCACACACCATTTCATTTCCAAAAGTCCTTATATTTTCCAGCAAATAATTTTCTTTAAAAATTCTTTTCTCGGGCTAGGGACTTCGGAATTTGATTTCGGGCATACGCCCAAGTCCCATATTTTACTACGGACCCTACGGGACCGTCAAGTCACGGGTTCGGGTCCGGGTCTGTTTACCAAAAATGTTGATAGAAGTCAAATTTAATCAATTTTAAAGGCCAAATTCAATATTTTTCCTAAATTTCACATAAAAGCTTTCCGAAAATGCGCCCGGACCGCGCGCGCAAATCGAGGTGAAACAAAAGGAGGTTTTTAAGGCCTCGAAACACAGATTTGACTTCTAAAACAAGAGATGACCTTTTGGGTCATCACATTCTCCACCTCTAAAACAACCGTTTGTCCTCGAACGGACATAGAAAAGTACCTGAGTCGCTGAAAAGATGGGGATATCGGCTCCGCATATCGGACTCGGACTCCCAGGTCGCTGCCTCAACAGGCTGACCTCTCCACTGCACACGAACTGAGGGGAAACTCTTCGATCTCAACTGACGAACCTGCTAGTCTAGAATAGCTATCGGCTCTTCCTCATATGTCAAGTCCTTGTCCAGTTGGACAGTGCTGAAGTCTAACATGTGGGATGGATTGCCGTGATACTTCCGAAGCATGGACACATGAAACACTGGATGCACAGCTGATAAACTCGGCGGCAATGCAAGTCTGTAAGCCACCTCTACCACTCGATCAAGTATCTCAATGGCCCGATGAACCTAGGGCTTAGCTTGCCCCTCTTCCCAAATCTCATCACGCCCTTCATGGGCGACACCCGAAGCAACACTCGGTCTCCGATCATGAATGCTACATCTCGAACCTTACGGTCGGCGTAACTCGTTTGCCTGGACTGAGCTGTACGAAGCCTATCCTGAATGATCTTAACCTTGTCCAAAGCGTCCTGTACCAAATCTGTACCCAACAACCGAGCCTTCCCCGGCTCAAACCACCCAACTAACGACCGACACCGCCTA